ACTCAATGTTTCACACATTCATATACAGTATTTTGTTGACTGGATTCTCTGATCATTGATGAATTTTTGACAAGAGCGACGCCTATAGCACGGTACAGGTTTTAAAATTGTGTAACACATCGGAATTTAATCGAAGTGGAAATTTTCTTTTTTAACTCTTCTCATCCAAGCGAATCCAGTGGAACCTTCCTGGATCTTTCCGAAGCTGTTATGAATACTTCAAAATTTAACCGAACCTTCGGCATGTCCCATGCTCACTTCGAAAACTGCGTCTAATTTTTTATTCTTATAACTTTTCAACATGACGTGAAAAGTCTGAAAACATCTACGAGCATCTGACTCCGGCTCAAACGCGGTTTAATTTGACTTTATCTCAGTAGTGCGAATTTTGTTCAATTGTATCTACGTCATCTCCTACCTGTAAGTGGCTCAAATTAGTAAATTTAAGTCATCTTACATTAATTTTGTTTCGGACGATGTAAATTTCCTCAAGCCCGCAGAGCTAAACAAAAAAAAATGCTTCTCACCGTTTTCACATGTCCGAATTTTTCCATTTGTTCAATGAAATCGGTTCAAGTGACCAAAAAATGAACTGGTAGTGCAGAGAATATCCTTGTCGAGGATTATCGGTATCTTGGAGACAAGATCACTGATAGTTGAGAGGATTAGCCTGGATTCGCATAGGGACCAGATTTTCTGAAATTTTCTCTGATCTAGCTGTCTCCATCACAAATATTCTATCAATTTTCGCCGTTTTTTTGAATTACGGTATTTTATTTCTTCATTTATTTGAATGAGAGTAGCTGAAGGTCTTCATTAGTGGCAAGGAAGCAAAAATCGGGAGTAGGTAACCCTGAGAAACTGGGGGAGACAAGACTTGTGCGTTGGCGCGTTGCCGGAGGCAGTTGAACCCGCCGCACACGCAGGCTTTTTCCCTCTTGATTTCTCGACGCATTTCTTACTACTGTATCATGAAAAGGCATCTCTTCTGCTCTTATTTCCTCTTTTTATCCCTCTCTCTCTGTCTCTGTAACTTGCGGGATGTTGTCTGCGTGGATTGCCACATGATGGTAGTAAAAACGGATCCCACGTGGAAGCACGTACAGTACGTAAGGTTGCTTCAGTCGCTCGCGTATCTTTTCCTCCTTTCTTCGCCCCGAGCGGTTTTTCCTTTATGTCGATCCCGACTGGCTGTTTCGCAAAACTCGACTGGAATACTGTACAGCCGGAGTAGAACTGTTCTTGTTTTATTACTATACTGCATTATCTGTTTTTTGTTGTTGTTCTGTTGTTTTTGAGACCTGAGAACTTTTTCAAGAGCCGACGTGATGCAAAGGTTTCGATTCTCTCAAGCCGTAATTATGCTGTGTGCGCCATTTCGCAGATTCAAGGTTGGATAAAACTCAGCGCAGATTTTCAAGAGAAATGCTGTGCTTCCATCAGCGGACTCGAAACGTCCCGCAGGGGATTTATTTGTATTATTTTCCGTGATACGTTTGTAATACTGTATTGGAATACAAATTTTCTTCGTCTGTGTCACAAAAAGAAGCGATCAATTCTGATGCGATTAAATTCAAGAATTTTGTTGTTGAAAAAAAAAAAAAAAGATGCATGTGGTATCTATCGGAACATGTTCTGTATTCGACGAAGTTTTTTTTTTTTTTACAAATTTGATTATGAATTCGGGTTCGATCGTAGAATGACAAAATCATTCGAGTTTGAACTTGGAAAACCTGAATGGAATGTTTCCTGGGAATGCAGTCTCAAATTTTATAAATTGAAGTTAAATGTCGATTTAAAAATTTTCAAGCTTCCGAATTGGATCATTTTCTATCCTGTTTTTTTTTATGTCCCGCTTTGTGTGGAAAAATGCCAATATACTTTTGTAGTATGATTTTACCAAATTTCTGATCAGTATTGCGACACGACGATTGTTGTTGGAACGGGGTAAAAGGTTACGATTTCGCAAAAATACTCGGCTTTTATTCGTGCTAAATTTTGAAACGTTCTGAAACTCGTACTTCGTCGGCACGGTTGATGCAAATACAGCTATTCATATTGGAGAAAAAAGGAACCTTCTGGTCCGTATTGCGACACGACGGTTGTTGTGTTAGAGTGGCGACCGGTTGCGACGTGTCTCTTGAGCTTGTCACCGTTGCCTGCGGGTGACAATGTTGGGCATGCAAATGTTGGAGGGGAGAGAGAAAGAAGAGATGACGTTCATATTCTCGTACACTCTGGAGTCGAATGTCGAAGTGATAGAAAAAGAAAGAATGAATGAATGAATGAATGGAGAGAAAAATTTTGATTTTTTGGTCGACGACAGACTTCGTCACCAGGGACTTTGAGCAGGGTAAAAAAAAATTTTGCTTCGCTCCGCTCCAGACACAATCACCTGCTCCAGGCTCTGGGCCAGTGCTCTGCTCCAGTGCTCTGGAGCTCCGGACTCTTCTTTACCATAGCAATGAATCTTTCAATTATTTTTTTAATCACAATTTTTTCTTGGTCCCAGCACTTGTTCCATAGGAACAATGCTATAAAAATTTCTATTTTTACAAACTAATTTTTGTCAGTAATCTTATTATATATTTTTGCTTTGATTCTATGTGTGCTCTGCTGACTATAAATTTTCAATAATTGTCGCAGACCTGAAAAATCTGACTTGAATGTAATAAAAATATAATCAAAATAGGTTATAGAATTTATATAACCTTTGTGAATTTATATTCAGCTATAATATAGGTAGAGGCCCATATGGGCACTACCTATATTGAAGGGGTTCTCTGAAAAATTATCTGAGTAAGATTTTTTTCTGGTCCCCTGAATTATCATGTATAGACTAGTCACTAGGGTTCCCCCAACACATGGTCCACATAGACAAGTGCCAGTCTGCACAAGTTTTTTGCCAGTTTGCAGGCAATATAAGCAAACAAAAGCAAAAAAAATAGTGGAAGCCTTTCATTTTGAGAGGCTTTTCATGATTTTCTTTCTTAAGGGGTGGAGACTTCAACATTTCTACGCAACAAAATTTAGTATTTGATTTGGGGAGCTTCGAATTATCCAGGTTCAAGTGCATTATTACTATAGACCTGAGTTTGGCTGCTGATTCAGTCAAGCATCAGAGACAAACGCCTGGAAATTCTGTAGATTTCATCCCAGAAAAAATTCCTGCAATTTATCTTGCGTTTAAGAAAATAACCAAATTAAGGCTAATTTTTGCCAAGTTTCATATTATTCTCGTTTGCACTTTATTTTTGCTGCATTGCAAATTTCTGCGGGTAAAACGCAAAAAAATGAATTTTTTGAACTCTTGCTCAACTGAACTCATAATATAGTGCATCTGACAGAATTGGACTGCCATTACAGAAGAGCCCTGTTGGGAAATCATGAGCCCACATACTCCTTATTTCCTGTAGGTTTTTGTGTGTGGGGCTTTCTTCCCATTTACGAGTTGCCTCAGCTTGCGAACAATAAAAGCAATCCCATCAGGAGCAACATTTGCACATCCTATATGCATAAGCAACAGCATCCCTCACATGATTCAATCCCCTTGATTCTGAGTGCAAAACATTTCCGCCCCTGAGGCTCCGGAACACGGTCAAGGTCAATGCTCAACAAACGACATTTTTCTGAAAGTTGAGAACAGTAAACCAGGTGTTGAAAGAAACCCATTGAAAGCCACTTTTTTCCTTCATTTCACCCACTTTTTTTTCCTCCTCCTCAGTAAACATAAACCAAAACCCTTCCAACGCCTGAAATTACTTCTTATATATACATAATACATACATGCACCCAAGCTTTGCGAGACTTTTCCAAGGAGAGAAATCAAAATTCAACAAGTTTTCTGCATCCCCTGAAGAAGGCTCTGAGAATATCTTCGGTTTGGATATGTCCCCAAGCCTGGTGTCACATTTGGAAGTATCCGAAATCATGTCAGTAGCTGGAGTGTCTTCAAATAGCTCAATTGATGCACTGGAATGTTCAGCAACATCTACTTCAACTAGGAATACAGAGGACTCAGGTTATCATGCAGAGCTTCAGCAGGTGACACCTGAAAGAATTTCTCAGTCTACAGGTTTACCACCTTTGGATCCCTCTTGGATGAGGTAGGTATACTAAAACAGAACTGTGCAATTGCTCAGTGATTGATCACAGAATTTTTGTATTGCAAAGATGGCAGGAAAAGGGAATTGGAGTGCTGCAATACAATGAAATACTGCAGGTGAGCCAAACAAAAACAAAGAAAACTGATGCATTTCAACCAATTTATGAAACTGCAAGAGCAATGAAATTGAAAAAAATGCTGTCATTGTAATGCTAAAGTAAAAGTATTTAACTGTTCAGCATTCTCATTCTTCAAAGAACTGCCAAAACAAATCCTTTTTGTTTGAATCAACTTCTAATTGCTAAATTATCCTGATTTGTAAAGTCAGAACTTTAAATTTCTCACTTCAAGAATTGAATAAAGCATGATGTGAAATTCAATTTGCAGGCAAAGGACCAGGAAATATTTGATTTGAAACTGCGCATCAATTTGTATGAGCAGAGGCTGTACCCAAAATGCATTCCAACTTCCAACAAGGGCATCCAAACCAACAAACCCAGAGTCTATGACAATGGTACAAATACAACAGACTCACTACCCCCCAAATCCTTGCCCAGATGTGACCATGGGCACATCCTTGAGCAAATATCTGCAACTCAAGACAAGGCCACCAAGTTTGAAGAACAAGTTGGGAACCTAAGAAAAGAACTCTGCGTGAGGCAATTTTATTTCCACTTATTTCTCTTGTCCAGTCAAAGCTGCAGCTGAACCAAATTAGCACTAGCCACTTCACAACCCACTTATATCAAAGGAAATCTTCTGGCCTCCAATTCAAAAGTCAAAGAAGTACAATTATTTATCAAATACAGTTGAACAGAGACCTTTTTTTCTTGGTACAGTATGAGCAGAAATACAGAAATAATTATGATATTATGGGGTTAAAGCCTGTGACAGCATGCTGAACTTGGAGGTAAAGTGCATTTTCAAATTAGTCACTCACTGAAAGTTTATTTCTTTTCATTTCCTGTTTTGAAACTGTGATGAAAACTTGTCTAAAATACTTCACTGTGTTGATAAAATGATAACCAAAAGACCTCCAGCAAATTCAAGTTGAAGATGATTCAAGGAGAAAAGTCTACAAGTTAATGAGATTTGTAGCGTATTGTACTAAGGGAAGTTAAACGGCAATTGAAAAGAAATTTCAAAATATTTCAAGAAATTGTGGTAAATCAACTTGAGGAGGTTCAAGTTACTGAGGGTTCAAATGTACAGTATTTAAAACCGAGTTAAACACTGCTGAATATAAATAGCTCTTGATGAATGAAACTGAAAAGTTCAGCAAAGAATCAAGTCAAACCTAGAGACTGTACCCACCCCTGTGGGAACAAAACACGTTCCTGACTCATTGCTTTTGCTAATTTTCTCTTCTTCAAGAGCTTGTCAAAGCAAGACAAAAACAGGACAAAGCAACTGGAAAACACAAAATTGAAGTTAGCAGCTAAAGAGGCAGAGATTGAAGGACTTCTGAAGGACCATCAAAGAGTGCAGAAGGAACGAGAAGCTCTTCAGAGAAGACTGGATGAGTACCAAGCTGCTGCTAGCAGTTTGTCCAAGGAAATGCTAGAAAGGTACACTCTTCCTTTCTTTTTGTATAAAAAAAATAACGGTATAGTATTTTCAAATGAACTTGATACTCATGGGTATTTCTGGTCTTCATTCCCTCAGGAACAACGAGGTGTCTGACTGGCGGGACAAGTGTGGGAAACTTTCACAAGAAATCCGGGAGTTGAAGAACAAGGTCACCAGGGCCATTTCATGACCCAAACACAAAATATGATGTGCAGAAATCACTGCAGTGAACACACAATCTTCCCTTTGCTTTGCATTGCAATTTGTGTGCACATTTCTTTCCCTCACTTTCAAGGACGTGATTCTTGAGCCTATTCAGGATTAACCAGCACTGGATTTCACAATCACTGAATCAACCCTACTGCTTGTTTTCAAATAATTGGTCTCTCTTTCTGCTCAGAATCACAAAGTACACCTGGGAATGGAAGGTGCGCCATTTCACAATGAAAAAGTGCACGTGCTTTATTCATGTTTTCTCTTGAAACCAGGGTCTTGGAGCAGGGTAAAACAAAAACTTTGCTCTGCTCCACTCCGCTCCAGACACAATCACCTGCTCCAGGCTCTGGGCCTGTGCTCTGCTCCAGGCTCTGGGCCTGTGCTCTGCTCCAGGCTCTGGGCCTGTGCTCTGCTCCAGTGCTCTGGAGCTCTGGAACAATGCATCTTTTATTAATTTCTTCATTAACAACTTTTTCTTGGTCCCAGCACTTGTTCCATAGGAACAATGCTATAAAATTTTATTTTTACAAACTAATTTTGATCAATAATCTCATTAAATATTTTTGCTTTGATTCTAAGTGTGCTCTACAGACTATACATTTTCAATAATTGTCACAGACCTGGAAAATCTCTTTTGAATTTAATGAAAAAATAATCAAATTAGGGTATAGAAATTCTAACCTTTGTGAATTTAAATTCAGTTATAAAATAGGTAGAGGCCCATATGGGCCACTACCTATATTAAAGATGTTCTCTAAAAATATATCTGAATACAATTGTTTTCTGGTCCCCTGAATTATCATGCATAGACAAGTGTTCCCCAACACATGGTCCACAGACCAGTGCCAGTCTGCAGAGGTTTTTTGCCAGTTTGCAGGAAATCGTCCTCAGAGCATAATAAATCAAATGGAGCAATGAAGTCTGTTTTTTATCTGATCTTTCAGAAAGATAGTTAGTTTGAATTACAGTCCAACCTCTTCAAGTTTAATTTAAAGGGACCAGGAAAAAAATTTTACTCAAGGAGGTTTCAACTTAGGGAGGTTTTGGGGACTTCAGAAATGTTTTTAAAGGGTTGGTTCAAAAGTCTAGCAACTTTTTGACGAAGACCCAATATGAAGTTTAAACAATTGCATAGCCACATCATCTGGGAACACTCAAGATCAGTTGAAGGTAATATCCACCAATTTCAATAAATTTTTCATGTGACAAATCTAATGATCAAAAAAGTGCCAAAAATCAAGTTTCATTTTTTGATTAATAGCTCTTTGCAGATGGCAGAAATGAGACTGCCTTGCTATTTTAAAATTCAATCCCTTCAGGTTGTTCAAGTCACAGGGTGCCTGAACAACTAACAGAACTCAGTTTTTATCAATTGAACAAACAAAATGCAGAAACTTGATTTCTTGCATTGTTTTGATCATTGGATTTATCACATGAAAAATGCATTACAATTGACAGATGTATGTTCAACAGCACTCAACTGTTGCCAGATGATGTGGCTATGCAATGAAAAATTTTTCAATTGTTGAAACTCCCTATTGGGTCTACATCAAAAAGTTTCAAGACTTATGAACCAACCCTAGAAACTGGCGAATTGCTGCAGCAGTAGACTGACCAAGCACCCAGGCGCCAGAAACAGTTTCTCTTTTTTTTCAATGAATGGGGGAGGATGCCACATCAAATAAAAGTTGCTCTCTTCCCCCCAAAAGGCCTACAATAAAGAAAATTGGTCCTTCCTTGTGTTCAAAACATTTGACTTAGGGAGGTTTCCCATGTGAATGTTTCAAGTTAAGGAAGTTTTTTCAACATTCTTTTCTAAGCAATTTTGAAGGGGACTGTGGAAAAATCTGACTTTGGGAGGTTCAACTTACCAAGGTTGGACTGTATGATTTATCCTAATAACACTTCAGGAAAGATTTCACCTGCTGAAATTAATAATTTTAATTTTTATTCAGAGGAACCCTTCTTTGAGCTGACTTTTCTAATTTTTTGGAGACATTCCACTGTATACTGTAGCTGCATTGTTGGTTCTTGGCTTAATTTTTTTCAATGAAGCAAAAACTTTTTAAATGCCTCCCATAAAGTCTTTCAAGCAAAACATTTTTGAGTCTGCAAAAATTTTATGAAACTTTGCCAGTGTGCAGAAATTATTTTTGAAATGTACCAGTCCACAGCAAAAAATTTTCTGGTCTGTGGGCCAAAAAAAGTTCGGGGAACACTGGTAAAGACTATAGTGTATGTAGTGTCCACTGCCCTGAAATATGGCAACCAGGGGATGCATATTTCCAGTAAGATGTTGATGACTTATTCTACGGGAGGGACTACTGTTGGGTGGCACCAGCCTAACTATCACATGTAGCAGGGGTTTTCCTCATCTTTCCAAATTGCTGTACTTCATACATCTCACAAACTTACCTATTTTTCAGACTTCATTGAAAAATAAGTAAAACTTAACCATCTTTGAGGTTGTTGAGAAACAAAATTGAATCAGGATAACCCCTCTCTCAACCTAATAATAATTGAGCCACAAGGAAAAGAATGTTCAGGGTTTGAGGACTTGACTGCCTTGGAGGGAGGTAGTTTTGTTGACTGGTGCCAGCCAAACAGTCACATATGGCTGGGGGTTCTCCCCAAATTTTTCAAATTTTATTTTAGGCCTTGAGCCTGGAGCAGCCAAAAATTTTGCCTGCTCCAGGCTCCGCTCCGGCTAAAATTGCTCTGCTCCGGGCTCCAGGCTCCGGGCTCCAGCTCCGCTCCAAGTCCCTGTTCGTCACCTTTTATTTTTTTCCTGAATACGAAAGGTTACGGTTTGAATTCGAATCTTTGGTGGGATCACAATGGGATCCCGAAATGGGTTTGCGGTGTTGTTCGCTGTGGTATTGAGATTACCGAATGGTGTTCAAGTCCCCAAGTGGTGCCAGTGGATACCTCGAGATTTATATTGAATTGAAAATGCACGCGACTGATTCATAAAAAGTCTCCGGTGGGTAAAATGTTCGTATTTCTTGGTAATGAATTGCGTAAGAAAGGTCTTCTCCCCACTTTTTTCCATCATTATTATCTTTATAACAAATTTTGTTAAAATTTGTCCCTTCGACCTGGAACCCAGGAACAGATTTTCCCCATCCTTTTTTCTGAAGACGATATGTTTGAAAGGCCTATTCATGCCGTAATTTTCTGCAGAAAGCTTGACTACTGAATTGCGCGCAATTTTCATACTTAGATCTGTAGCTGCCGAGAAATTCTAACATGATTAATGGTGGAAGTGAACCTTGAAAAGACGAATTTTAGTACCCGAAGTTCTGAGTTGGCATCATCGAAATAAACTGCGGTACAGTATAGTTTCCAAGACTTCGAATAAGCCTTCGTTCAAAATCGGCTATCCGCATCAGTAACGGAAAAACTGCCTGTATCGAAACACTTCTTAATTTTAGTTAGAACATGATGTTCAGATTTTCAGGACGTGGTTGGTCAGAAGGTATTTCATCATTCGTAATACTGTACATTCGATAGCACTTGGAACTGCGTTCCATATTCCAAAGAAACGTGCAAATATGGCAGATTAAACTACAGTATTTTCTCCGTGATGATGCATTTCTTCCCAAATTCAACTTCTTGTCTTCTCTTTGTTTCAAAGTGTTCAGCAAAAATTGGGCAAGAGATGATTGAATGAACAATTTTGGTACTGTGAAAGAAAAGGTATGCTTTTGTCCATCAATCCGAAGAGGGAAGAACAAGACCGACAGATTCCTGAACCAAACTCTCGTGATTTCAGTAGATGCTCTGCGGAAGGAGAAGTGTTTCACGACGAAACACTCGGAGTAAAATTGTTTCCCGACGAAAAGCCAACAGTTGATTTTCTCCAGGTTCAACCCGTTCGGAAACAGGATTAGTTATGCCCTGTCGGAACCACTATTGTTTGTTTGTGACTTGGGAAAATCGGTCGGTTTCCCCCCATTTGCTTTAATTGATGAACTCGTGCCTCCCCTTCAGTTTCGGAACTGGTTATTTGCAGAGAAGAGAATGAACTGCTGTTCGACGCGGAACAGATGTCCGGGGATTGAACTGAGTCCAAAAGTAAACAAACATAAAATAAACGCTGAAAACAAAAAGAGGAAAGGATACCGCGTGCTGATTTCGTAGCTACGGTAAAGAAAACAACATAACGAACCCAGGTTTTTTTTTCCTTCCATCCTGTCCTGTATAACCCCCTGTGAGTTTACCCCTACCTGCGTTTGTCTCGCTTCCGCCGCGCTTCGACAGAAGAAGATAGGGAAATGTCAAGTAGAAAAAGGGGGGGGGGGGAGACGACACGACAGCGTGACCCCCGTGTGTGTCGTTTCTCTGTCGCTTTGTAGGTTTCGTCCGTAAGGACGTAGCAAAACGTGGCATCGAAGGCCTTCGAACTGTTTGAAGTTGGCTGTGCCATCGTCTCATGGCTGCTTTAATGACTTGAAGCATTATTAAGCAGGACATCAATTGAAAAATAAATAAATGAGATACAGTAATGTACTATGACCCGGTTTTCTTTTGTTCTAAAAAAAAAAAAAAAAGCGAGGCGTCGATTTACTTGAGTACGAGAATTCCTGGATGAGAATTTTTCGCTTCGTGAATGAATAGAGAGATGCATGCTAATCTGAGAATCATAATTGTATGTGATTAATATGCTTTTAGCTTTGCCATTCGTCTCGTGACTACTTCAATGGCAAATCAATAGTGAGCGGATGAACCAGATGCGAGCTTCTGAATGAGGATAATTTTGCTAATACAGTACAAAGCAACTGCAAAAAGTGGTGAACTCAGGTACTACTACAGTACAATATTTCGTATTCGAATTTCCCTAGGCTTTGTCATATTCGTAAAACCGAATTGCCATTGAAAGAGAAAAATCTTACGACCAGGGATTGCGTCAGCTTTTTCCCCTTCTCGGGGTTTTTGTCTCGCCACGGTTTGTTGCAGTCGGTGCCAAAACTGCACTCGATCGCTCTGCGTAAAAAACACCGGGTGTTTTTCTTGTTCTGACGCCCCCACCTCTTTCTTCTTCTTGGTACAGTAACATTTTTGGCATGCTGATTAACTCGATGCTTTCCCTTCGTACTCGTCACGTTGGAAAACAAATCGTCGCCGTCGGCAGTCTGAAAGGCTTTGAAAGGGTTTTACAAGATTATTCTCTCAGGCGCCGCCGCCGGAAGGAAGTGGAACGATTAGCCGTTGACGCCGTTTCCCGTGTTTTTG